TGCAGTACTACATTCATGGTTTATTCATATATTGCAAATATATAAAGTAGTCCCAAGTATAGTGAGAATAATAGAATATTTGATGCCCACATAGATAACTGTATGGATAAAACATGCCACCAACACAATAATGTCAAGAACAATTCACATAAAACATGGCATTTTTCTTTTTTCTTTGTTTGTTTTTAGGCGATTGGGGTTAAATGACTTTCCCAGGGTCACACAGCTAGGAAGTGTCAAGTGCCTGGTCTGAGACCAGATTTGAACTCAGGTCCTCCTGACTTCAGGGCTGGTGCTCTATTCACTGCGCCACCTACCTGCCCCCAAAACAGGGCATTTTTCAGGAAGAAAATTCAAGTCCATTATGGCTTTGTCTAGCCTTAAATCCATTAACATACATCCTGAAATAACTAAGGATGGTTTTCACATTAATATGGGTGACATCAAGGTATGTGGCTCCACAGAAGATCAAATTAAATTGCTCCCCTATCACATGGAATTTTTCTCCAACAATAACAAGGTGTCTTTTGCACTCAGTAAGTATAAAATTCTTAATGTATGCCAAGGAGATATAGAGGCTGATGCATTCCAACTTGAATACAGAGGTCACACTAAACCATTGGATGGGGGTAATAACTATAAATGCCTTGGTCTCCTCCAGGCAAGACACACTGAGTGCAAAAATTGTCAAGGAGCAGGCTGTAGCTGAATACATTAAAAGACTTACTGGCATTCTAAAATCAAAGCTGAATGAGAACACATTTAAAGCAATTCACAACCAGGCAATTTCAATTTTAAGGTATACTTTCAGAATTATAAAATAGACCAAAATGGATTTGGAAAGTCCCCTAATGAAACCTCCACAATATTCATAAAATCAATATTAGTAAAACATAGTTGCCACTAGATAGCTCAGTGAATAGAGCACTGGGCCCATGGTCAGGAAGACCTGAGTTCAAATTTGGCCTCAGATACCTACAAGTTGTGTGACCCTGGGCAAGGAGGCGCTGTTTGCCTCAGTTTCCTCAACTGTGAAATGGGGATAATATCTTGAAGAGTTGATGGATCAAATGAGATAATAATTTAAAAGTGCTTAACACAGTGCCTGGCACATAGCAAGGGCTACATGAATGTTAGCTATTATTAAAACATAGGGTCCACTATAAGGCAGCTATAGAAAGATGAACACTTCCACTTGAAAAAGGAGAAAGATTAATTGATATGCTTATAGCAAATGACAAATAGGTCAAAAATCTAGAGAATTTTTTTTAATAAACAAATATTACTGCATTGAACAATTATAAAAGTTAATAATAGGCACACATAATTGGATTTCCCTTATATGATGAAAAATTACTTACTTCTGGATGGACTTCATCCAGCAACTATAAACCAGGAGTAGAATCAAAAAACTTGCTATGGATGAACCTCATGAACTTGGCCCACAATATACCAAAAAAGAAGCCTCAGAAACGTGGCTGTTGGGCAGCTTGTTACATGGAAACAAAGGGATTTACAGTGGTCTTTCAGAACCAGGTCATTTCTACCAGAAGCTTCAGAAAGGTGGTGATCAGTGTAGATTATGCAAGGAAATAGTAGAAGAAAGTGTCACATATCACCACAGACTGGAAAAGTTGAACATCTACCAAATACCTATTAAGACATGACCTGGTAGCCTTCACACTGAGAGACAACAAATACTACAAATGTGGGTCTCAAAATACCTTGCAGAAGTCAATCAATAAACTGTACTGGAATGAAACCATTATCACAGACCAAACTGTTACCTACAATCACAAAGACATAATAATGATTCATAAAATCTTAAGAACAAGGTTTTCAATAGATGTTAATATCACAAATACTCATAATTTCCAAACTCTGTGGAAAATAAATCTTTCAAAGGATAGAAACCTGGCTGGGAAGATCAAATTCACATGGGAACAAGATGAGAGACATACCATGTATCTCATCCTATTTTCTACTGTAGTTGTACCAAGAATGCTTTCATTGAACCTACAGTGGATGACTTTACATCCTGATATTTTTATTCAGCCACAGACAGTAGTCATTTTAATCACTTATGTCCATAGTCCATAGACTACGAATATAAAGGAAAATAGGCTAATGATCTGTCCCAGGACTGTTTTTTTCTGAATCCCATCAAAGAAGATGAGAATGAAATAACAATAACAAAAGTAGTAGACTCTTTCTTGGTGCTCACAGTTGTAGTCTGGTTTTCTCTGGGGGCATGATTACCTTTGATTCTAGGTCCACACTCCTAAAAAATAATTTACAAGCTCCCACCAGAGCACTTACCTTTAATAGTCACATAGTTGACACAAATGCTTCAAAGCAAAGGTATTTACTAAGAAGGCATAGTAAGAACAGTAGCTACAAAACATTATCCCCATTAACCTGAATTTCATTCTCTCACAACCACACATAGCATAAGTGAAAATAGTGGCAACACACACAGGTCTCACTTTACGTAAGTGGACCATTCTGCAGACCTTTTTATAAAATAATTTTTACATAATGCAAATTTGCCCTTACCCACCCACTTCACTTAGACTACATAACAAAGGCATATACAAAATACCTCTACCCACGTCATAAAATGTACTAAAATGCAGACATAGAAAGAGTGTACCATGATAATAAACAGAACTATGAAATGAAAGCTAGAGTTAATGATAAAGTATGCACAGTACTGTACAGTAAAGTTAACGTAGATGTGCAGTACATTGCCCCTTCTCCTCCTATGGCACCTAGCCTTTATCACTAGTGATTGGCTGTGCAACTTTTTTTATGACGCTACTGAAAGATTTTTGGACAATGGCTCTCTTTTTTTCCCCTTGTATAGCTGATGGCAAGTATTATTATCCTTAACTAGTTTTTGAACTTTTAAAAATCTTGAAGCATTTGGATCCATCTTTTCAATATTCTCTCAAATGGTGAAGTACTTCTGCTGACTGTTTCACTGTGAACCTTTCTGGTTCGACCTCAGGTTCTGAAGTTTCCCTTTCTTCTGCAATCTTTGCAGCTAGCAGCTCAGTCGGACCCTCATTCAACAACTCTTCTCCATGAGACTCAATTCCATATCATTCTCACCCACTTCTAGCTCCAGTTCTCATGCTTATTTTACAATCTTGTTACTCACTTCTTTGAACTTTTCATTTTTGTCAAATCCATGAAAACTGAAATTGTAGGCGTACTTTTTTCCACAATCTCTTCATACATTTTTCTGCTACATCTTTCCATGCTTTAGCAATATTCCAGATTGCATGGGAAATATTATAGGACTTCCAAAAATCTCTCAATGTCAAATCTTATCTGTATCCAAAGCTGCAATTGCCTGGGCAAATGTAGTGCATAAATAACACCCCTTAAAATCGCAATCACTTCCTGATTCATAGGTTGTAATAATGAGGTAGTGTTAGGGAGTAGGTAGATCACTTTTTTATTTTCATTAAAAACACCCAGATGGGGAGGGTGACCTGGGGCATTAGCCAAAATAAGTAGAACCTTGAAAGGAACACCATTAGTGCATAAACCATTGTTCAAAGATGATAAGAGTTATCCATGCCTTAGGGATGAGTGGAAATAATGCACAGATAGCAAAATAATGCACAGGTATGCCTTGCTGATTTCTTTCAATGCTCTGGGATTTTCTGAGCGGTTTGCAACAGCAGGCTTTAATTTGCAAGTCCCAGATGCATTACCTCTAAGCAAAAGAGTAATTCTTATTTTTTAATTTATGCCCTGGCATAGTTTTTCCTCTTTCTTGAGATGTAGGTTTGAGATGGCAATCTTTGATAAAAAACAGGCCAGTTTCATCTATATTAAAGATTTGCTCTGGCAAGTAGGGACCTTCATCTTTTATTATTATTATTTTTTGCAGAAACTCTGGAAACTTCTTTGGTGGTTCAGTATCTGCACTAGCAGCCTCTCTTGACACTTGCACATTATAAAATCCTGCACAATTTTTAAATCGCACAAAACAACCACTGCTTGCTATGAATACTTGTGTTCCTTCAAATTTTTTACCTTTAAATCTTCAAAGAGGCTAATAGTGAATAGTTTTTCCATCTGTAGAATAGTGCATTCTCTTTGTTTGCATAGATAAGTTAACTTCATGTGAGCACTGCTTTCTGGGTGATCCTCCTTCACTGTGGACACCACACACACTCAACACCACAAGATTAAGTTCACGTGCTACTGATGACAATTTTTATCCTCTTTCATATTTTCTAATTATTTTTACTTTCATTTCCAAGTCTATTGGCTTACACTTCCAACATGATTCACTTTTCCCTTCAAGAGCATGTTTGCTGCCAGCCATACATATAAGGATAACTATTGAATTCAGAAAGAGTATCATTCACTGTCTGCAGACAGACAGGAACTGACTTAGAGATACTTCTCAGCTTCCCACCAACGTTTCCGCTGTCTGCATCATACAGCATCTGCTTTGCGTAAGGAATTTTCATTATTATTATTTTTTTTATTTTTGGAATGAAGGTTTCTTTTAGAATTCTTTAGGTAAAGTTGAATTTGTGTGATGCTAACCTTGCCTCTAGCACTGAGGAGCCCTAATGTCCTCTCTCTTTTTGTGGTGTCCTCATATTGCTCACCTGAGGATAGAACATCTCTGCTGGGCAAGGTAGCTCATAGAGATTTCTTGAGCTTCCTCCCTTGAATTTATAGCTGGCTTTCCTCTCTGCTATCAGAGGTCACAATTCTCAGAGTTGCCTAAATCAACAATCTTTGGTCCCTTTTTAGGCACAGCGTCTCTTAGTAGAGGAGTAGCTATGATCTAAATAGCTTTATGGCCAATAGGACATAAAAATCTCTCCCACCCAACCTCCATTGTCCTCTGGTGGAAGTGCAAGGGAAAAGGCTATGCAGGATCCCAGGGTCTTCTTCCATAGCTTACTTTCTTCTAAACCACCATGGGTTACACTTATTAATCTCCCTTACCTTGATTATCTCCACAGCTAGAAAACTATCTTTTTAAAGGCTACCTTGATGTGACCAATCTTCAGAGTCAAAAGCAAGTTGCCCTCCAATGCCTTAAAGGTTATACTTCATAAAGGTTGGTAGTCATGTTTGTACTTTGTTTAACATGTTAGTACCTGGTGGTCTCTGTAATTTCAACCAGGCTGTGGGGGTATGAACCAGTTGATCAAGGGTGTCCAATTCCCCCTTCCCTCACCGCTAATATAATTATAGATTTGGTTGTGGAAACAGAGAAGATTTTGATGGCAATTCAGGGCCAGGATGTAGATCTTAAGCTGGAACATAACTCAAACACTATCCAGTCTAATCCTTTCATTTTATATATGAAGATACTGAAGCAAGGGAAGATAGGTGACTTATTCAAGGTCACACAGGTAGGATTTTAATCCAGTCACTGCCACTAGCAACTGCAGAAGGGTTACACTTAAGAAGCTGGGCTTAATAATCAGTGCAGATTATGCAAGGATACAGTGGAGAAAATGTAGCACTTCACTGAAGGCTGTAAAAATTGAGCACTTACTGAATACCTAGCAAGATATAATCTGGTGGCTCAAATTATACATCACTATCTTTCATAGACTGACAGATGGCTAATCCTTACATTACCTATATAGATCTCAAAATGTTCCGAAGAACACAATCAACAAATTGTACCAGATCCAAACTACTGGGGTACAATTGTACTGAAGACCAAACTACTACCCACAATTGTCAGGACATAACATTAATTCATAAAAACTTAAGAAGAGGGGCAGCTAGGTGGTGCAGTGGCCCTGGAGTCAGGACGACCTGAGTTCAAATCCAGCCTCAGACACATAACACTTACTAGCTGTGTGACTCTGGGCAAGTCACTTAACCCCAATTGCCTAACCAAAAAAAAAAACAAAAACAACTTAAGAAGAAAGTTTTTAATAGTTATTTCCACCCCAAGTACTCCCCAAGCTATACAGATAAAAAACTTTCAAAATATCAGTGAAGAGGTAATTAAAGGTAAGGGGGAACAGAATATTTGTTGTCATTTGCTCCTGGAGGTGTATCAAGGATGTTTTTAGGGAGCCTACAGGGGATGAGTTTATATCCTAGGATTCTTCTATTCAACTACCAAAAAAGCAAGCATTTTATCCACCTGTCCATAGAACACTGAATATATAATAGCAGGACAGCAAATTCTTCTAGGACTATTCCTATCTGAACTCCCGTCAAAAAAGATGAGAATGAAATGAGAAGAAAAATGAGTGGAAAGACCTAATGAGGAGAAAGCCACAGAGTTCTCACGGAAACCTGGGTCAAATATCTGGAATTTCAGGAACGTGCTTTGCCTAGAAAATATTAGTATCCCAAATTCCCGGTGTCCTACCTGAGAAGCAGTACTCTGCAGCTTCATCAAACCATTTTCCAACCTGTCAATTTTGGCAATGAGCTCCTTCCTTTTCTTAGCCAGTAGGTTCTGGTACAGTTTGATCAACTCCAGAAAGGTCTTAGGGGTTGTGTAGTTATACCGTCTTTCGGTAGTCAGGTAGACTTTGGACATCTCGTTAACAGTTGTATGCACATAGCTCATGAAAAGGCTGATGGAGTCTTTGACTTCTTTCTACAAAAAATAAGACATAGTATTATTTATAATTAACCAGAATGACCATTTCCTAGGTCTGATTCTCCCTTCCATGCTCCCTGTGTACCCCCTCTACCCTTTGATGTGTGTAGGGGAAGGGAATCTGCTCACTTCTGCCATAATCCAAGTTCCCATTTGTATGGTGAAGGTCAGTTCCTTAGGTGAGCACAGCACCACAGTGCATGTCCATCCATTTGGTGGATTCAGGAAAGCTCTGGGCATAAAAGCTGGAAAGGCTGCCTCAAAGCATCATGTGGAAGCAAACTCTTTTGCCCCACTTCAGCACATTTGACCTCTGTGTACCAAGACAAAGCCTAACTGGAATGATTCCACATGCAATGCCTGACCGGATACATGGAAAAGGTTTAATTTTCAGCAAGCCCTTCCACTTGCAGCATTCTTTGGGTTGTGTGACTTTGCAGCTGTTGTCCAATATAGACTAGCTCCTTTTCAGAGGGAGGCAAAATTGGCTTCATTCTCCCTTAAAAATGACTTGCCATGCTTATAAGATTTATAACTGGAAGGGACCTTTGAGATGACATTGTCTGATCCCCAGATGGGGGAAATGATTTGCCCAATGTCACAAAAGTACCAAAGCTCATATTGACAAGTCCCCAAACAATAATTCCAGAGTTCTTTCTACTATATCATGCAGTTGTTCCAAGCAACCTGTCTTGACTTCATCTAAAGCAGTGATTCCTAGGTCTACTTGTACAGCACTCCGGGTTGCTGTAATTTTTTCAAGAACTATTATATAGTTCTCCAGAAATTATCTTAATAAAATTTGTACGCACACACACACACACACACACACACACACAGAGGCACACACTGTGCCACATAACACTTTTAGGAGGAGAGTATCATGAAATTAAGTCAATGATACAGTGTTTCTCAACCTTTATTTGCAGTTGAGATACAAATCTAATCATCCAGCATCATATTGGCAAGCAAATCCAATTTAATTCAATATTTGAATCCAATTGAATTTAATTATTGCACAAAGTCTGTATGTAAGGTACTGTTATATTAGGGATATAAAAACAAAACAAGGATCTTACCTGTGGAGAAGCAAAGTGTTGTATTCAATACCTTAGATTTTTTTTTAATCTATGAAAAAATTTAGTTTAGGACTAATTCTAACTCAATGACAATAGCATATTTGTCCAAAATTAATAACATGTGGCCCTCTTGGGCAACACATTTTGTGTCCAGGATATGTCATGGTTTAATGATGACTTCCAGACAGACAACTAATGCAAATAAGTGAATGTGAGTATCCTCCTCTTCAGTGAAAATTAAAAGTAGAACAAAAATTAGGATGTTGTTGTATGTTTTATCCTCATGGCTATAGTTTTGCTGCTAAAGACAAAGAGACAAATAACTTGTGAAGACAGAGTAGCACATGCAGATTACATTGTCTTTGATCCAGCAGATGCCATTAACTAGCAAGCTTTGCAACTGATGAGATGGTGACAGGCAAAACCAACTAGTTGATTTGCTAACCTCAATTCCCTCTGTTTCCGTTAAGAATCTAGCACTGACAGATACCAAGGCATCTTCAGGCCATTCATGGAACCAGTTGATAGCTGTACAGTTGACCACAGCTGGGAATTTTCGGGCTCGCACCCGAAGTGTGGAGCCCACAGGAGAGAAACACAGGATAACCTAGATGGACAACACAGATAAAATGGATTCGACCGAGTAAACAACAAATCATACATCAGCTTTTAAAAAATCTCTTTAGAAAAAAAGAAGCAGATATGGATTGTAGTGTATAATAATGACAATGGGCACTAGTATTCATTCTGCATTAGAGGCACATCTGTAACATCAAACAAGTTTCACTGATGTTTTTGTGTGTGGTAGAATGAAGTTATAAACCTAAACCACTATTTTGGTGGCAGAAACATTTAACCTTTGACTGAGGAGGGCATGGGCAATAGACAGGAAGCCGTCTACCAATGGATCAAAGGGGATGAGGAAGGATCTTGAGAAAGTAGGAGAATGGCACCAGAGTTCCCACCTGAGTCACAAGAATACTTTTGGAGGATGTGGACTGAGTAGCAATGTGCTTAGACCTTGGCAACTTAGTATCCTAGCCTTAGGATTTCCTTATCCTGCTTTAAGAAGGTTGATCATATTATTCCTATGAGATGACCCATTCATTCAATAAACATATATTAAGCACCTACTATATGCAAGGCACTGTTTCACTCCAGTGATACAGAGGCAAAATGAAAAAAAAAAAGACCTGCTTACATTCTGTTTATTATAGAAGAATTATATTCTATTTATCAGGTACCCATTGTGTATAATATACTATGGTTGTAGTTTCCCTTCCCTTATTCTATTTTAGTTTCCAAACATAGTTTGGAATTCTAGTTTAATTTATGTCATCAACATTAAAGAATTAATAATGTTGAATGTCCAGACCCCTCTGAGTCCTACCTGTCGACAATAAGGCATATATAAAGTGTTGGGGTTTTTTTTCTGGTGCTTGAATATCTTTAACAAGTCATGTCAGTTAAAAGCATAAAATACTTTTGTTATTTAGGTCTGCACATAGATGTAGTATTATTCTATTCTGCTAGTATTATATTATTGTCCACATAGATATAGCACCCCCTCTAGAATACACTCCAACTTGTACTAATGGATCAGGTTTTCTAGAGAAGTCTACACCAGGCTGAAGGTACTCTGTGAATCTGCACTCCTAATCCAGGCCCTCTCCAATGGATTTATCTTTAGTGGTTAGCCAGTTGACATAATTACATCAAAGCAAAATCATTTACTAAAATGGCATAGTACGTTGCAAACCATTCTCAATAAACCTGAAGTACCCTCTTCTACAACCACATAGTATCAGTGGGAAAGAAGAGGTGGGCATAGAATAGAGGCCTGCACATAGGGAATGTAAAACTTACAACTCCAGCATTAAAGGACCCAGATTTTTTTTTCTCTTCTTACAGTGTCCTTAAACTGTCTCTCCTGAGAAAAGTGTCTCTGCTGGGCAGGTTGTTCCTTCTCTACTTTGGCTGTGTTCTGTAGCTGTCTGCTCCAGCACCTTACTGCCTACACACATGTCCATGTTTCCCCTGTCCTTAAAAAAAACTCACTTAATTTCTCTATCCTCACTAGCTATTGCCTCATCTCTCTCCTCTCTTTTGTGGCTAAATTTAAGAAGGCCAGCTACAATAGGTACCTCCACTTCCTTTCCTTTCACTCTCTTCTTAACTCTCTACAGTCTGGTTTCTAACCTTATCATTCATCCAAAACTACTCTTTCCCAAGTTACTGTTGTTGTTGTTGTTGTTCAGTCATTAAGTTGTGTTAGACTCTTCATGATCCCATGGACCATAGCACAAGCAGGTCCTTCTATATTTCACTATCTCTTGAAGTCTGTCAAAGTTCATGTTCGTTGTTTCCATGACACTATCTATCCGTCTCATCCTCTGCTGTCCC